CTTCCTTCCTTCCTTCCTTCCTTCCTTCCTTCCTTCCTTCCTTCCTTCAGTCAGTGCCTTATTTCAGTGCCAGAAGGTATAGCTCTGGCTCTGCTGCACACTTTGCTTTTTATTTTAATTTTGATTCAAAGTTGCTGTGTAGCATAGGCTAGCCTCAAACTTTAATCCTCCTCCTTTGGCTTCCTAAGTACTATGATTAGATCCTAGGTTGTGTGTCACTGAGCCAAGGAGCTCAGCTCTGTTTAATTCACCTTTGTAATTGACTCCTTCATAGTTGCTTCTGTCTGTGGAGCATGTTATACTGTTTTTTAAAAAGATTCCCTTATACTGGAGTTACAGTTTTGAGCCACCATGTGGGTACTGAGACTAGTATCGAGTGCTCTTAACTGCTGAGCCATCTCTCCAGCACCATATACTGTTGTTTCTTAACAGATTAACTTTTGAGTGCTGCCTGTTTATGATCTGAGCATTCAGCTCCTGCAGGGTGTCTTCTCACTTCCCTCCCTCAGAGTTCTAGCACTGCAATTAAGACTCCATACCCCATTCTCTAGTGTATATCACCAAAGAGACTGAGTGTCTCATAAAATGTTTCTGTAGTGCATATCTGTAACCCTAGCACTCAGGAAGCAGATGGAGCTAGCTACCTAGCAAGACACTGCCTTGGGAAACAGGCAAAAAACAAACTTATAAAGTGAAATATTCACTTGCCATTTGAATTTTGTTTATATTTGTACACATGCACATAGTATACTTGTTGAAGCCATCTACACATTTTTCCATGGGCCTTTCTCCTTTTTTCATTCTTTTTTTGCTTGTGTATACATGCATATATGTGCACATGAGTGTGGAAGCCAGAGCTTTATGTCTGGTGGGGTGTGTTTTGTTTTTTTTTTTTCTGTTTTGTTTTTTTTTTTTTTTGGGTCTTTTTGAGGCAGGGTCTCCCTGTAGCCCCAGCTGGCTTGGAACTCTATATAGACCAGGCTGGCCTTGAACTCACAGAGATCCACCTGAGTGCTGGTATTAAAGGTGTGCACTACCACACCCAGCTTACATCCGGTGTTTTTTTTCAAACACTCTTTACCGTATTTTTTCACTGAGTCTCTTACCGAACCTGGAGCTCATTGATTTTGTCTAGGCTAACTAGCCAGTGAGCTTCAGGGACCTGCCTGTCTCTGGCACTTTCACCACCCTGCAGCACTGCTGTTACAGATGCACACTGTCTCACCTGACACTTACATTGGTGCTCTCACTCTGAATTTAGATCCTCAGGCATGCCAGCAAGCATTCTGCCTCTGAGCTCTATCCTCTGCCCTTTTTTTTTTATTGTAAGACAGGATCTCACTAAGTTGCCCAGGCTGACCTTTAATTTCCTGGCTTTATAGGCCCTGCACTACCAGGCCTGGCTAGTTTTCCTTTTTCAAGATTGACAGTCTTTGCTTTTCAGCTGTTGCATTTATTTTTCTATTTTGTTAGCAGTGATCTGCAAAATACAACATGCATCCTAATCGGACTTGACCTTGCGTGCTGTGCTGTGCTGTGCTGTGCTGTGCCATGCCATGCCATGCCTGTTACTCAATTGTACATTCTACTGGGTCACATAAGTCCATTTTCTTACATGTGTACATGTTCTTTGAGCATACCTTGCAGCTCTTGCCCTTTCCATCAGTTCCCTCTCTTTTCTTATAGTTGTGTCCAACTTTTTGAGATTGCAACATGAGATTGTCATCTACAAAGTTCACACGCAAGAACTAGTCTCCAGTTAAGACAGAAATACCGCAAAAACTCAGAATGTTTCAGATACGCTTTAATTTCGTATTGGGCTGCATTCATAGCTGTTCTTGGGTGCGTACTTGCTGGGCACTTGTTCTTTCATGAGACAATGCACATGTGCTTTTATCTGCCTATATAAAATTTAAGGCCACAAATGAGAGAGAACATATTTGTCTTTCTGAAACTGACTTGTTTACTGTGATTATCTCCATTTATATCAATTTTCTTGAAAATGACATCATTTTATTCTTTATGACTGGAAAGAACGCACCCCACTTTCCTCTTCCACTCCTGCTGGTGGACAGCTTGGCTGGCTCATAACTTAGCTGCTGTGAGTAGTGCTGCAGCGTGTTGACTTGCAGTCGTTTGGGAGAAATGCCCAGGCATAGCTTAGCTTAGTCAGATGGTAGGTCTACTTTTAGTTTTTTTGAGGAACCTTCATACTGGTTTCCGTAATGGCTAAACCAGTTAAATTCTCATGGCGGTTACCAAGGTTCCCTTTTGCCCACATCCTTGCCACATTTCTCGTTTTCTGAGTGAATGCCATTCTGATTGGGGTAAGGTGGACTCTCATGTGTGAATCCCTGGTACTGGACTTGCAAGTGGTTGTGAGCCATCTCATGTGGGGTTCTGGGCACAGAACTCACATCCTATGCAGGAGCAACAAGTGCTCTTAACCACT